TACTAGCTTCATTTTGACCTATTGATTATTACTATATGATTTACTGTCCCTACGTTATGCTCAGTTTTATTGATTATTGTCTCCCACGATTACAGCTTCATTTGGCCTGGTTTTGTACAAATATTATTTTCTATTTTATGGTGTGGTGTGGTCTGCCTGTCTGATATATAGATAAAGTATGCTTGAAATAAACGATTCGCATTACAGCAGCTGCTATTGGTGTTCTGGACTCAAGTGAACGGGTTAGGCGGATAAGGACCAATGAGGACTCTAGATTACTCATATTAATCGAACGTCATTGTCACAGTATGAAGGTCGTAGAAGGCATATTCTATTGGTGGGTAATTTACGCGGATTACGTCCTTGTTAAATTCTTAAGGTCATAACGAATCAGCGACGACCTTGATCAAGTCATAACAATTGGCTACAGTTTAGGTCAAAAACATAACACTAGGATGTAACCGGACGATCTAGACTTCGCAGATGATGTGACTCTTATCACACACGCAACAACAAATTCAGAAGACGAGTATGTATCAGCAGTAGGTCTCTCATACACAAAGGGAAAGTTAAGATTCCCCGGTGCTATACAACATGCACCAATCGAATTACACTTGACGGAGAAGCTGTGGAGGATGTGAAAACCAATACATATCTGGGCAGCATCATCGATGAACCCGGTGGATCTGATGCAGATGCGAGGCCGCGGATCGGCAAAGCAAGAGCAGCATATTTACAAGTGAAGAACTGGAACTCAAAATAACTGTCAACCAACACCAAAGTTAGAACTTTCAATACAAATATTAAGGAAGTTCATGACGATTTGTGCTTCTTCATATTTCATATAAAACTAAATAAATAGTCTATTTTTAGTGTATGATTGAGCAGGAATTGATTCCTGCTTACAATGCGATCGTGGTAAAACCGTTCCGGCTGCACGTGAATAAAGAATTTTCAAGAATTTTGAGGTATCATGTACATCATGAACATAAGCTAAATTGTCGTCAAACGTCACAACAAATACAAACAAACAGACAGCAGACTTGCACTGAAGTTTTCCACGTACTATGTTATTATACGGAAACGTTATAAATGTTTTCTAATTATCCTATTGCTTAAGTGCGTACAAGAAGCATTTTCAAGGACATTTTCGGCTAGGGTTTCAGTCCAGGCCTTGAAATATTTTATTTCCGCGGTTTAAAGCCTACGTTTTTGGCTGAATTACACGATAAAATTAACAGGCTAACTTTTATTGGGTCTTTTGGCAATAACGACTGGTGGGTCAATTGTAAGTTCAAAAAGAATAATAGTCAGTTTCATATTTTGATCCTGATCTGAAGGGCAGTTTATCAGTTGATTTTAGGATGTGTACATTTGAAAACAATTTTGGTGAGTAGAATTCAAATATTTTGTTCTGAGCACAGAAAGCAATGCGATTGAAGTTATGATTAATTTGACTGAGTCCAACCACTGTGTTCTTCTTCATAGGATACGAAGACTATTTGAATCACTCATAGTCGACAGTTGTATCAAACCACGAATTTGCTGCGCCATTCTTGCTGCACTATATTACAGTATCATATGTCAAACTTTGAAATTTATCAACAGTGCTACTTTAATGTTCCTATTCTTGTTATGTCTATCTCAGCCAATGCTGATCTTAAATTCGTGACCCCTTCGTCACCACCGGTTTTTCTTTCTGCATATTCATTCTAATAACCTATATATTCAAGATTTGTTGTGAAATCTTTTATGATAATTGTCCTACAGAACAATGTGGTGTAGAATTACAAATACAAATGAAATTTGCCTATTCGAACACAGGTAATTTTGATTTTCCTAATTATTTAGTTGGAAGTTCCCAACTACGACGCATTCATTTTTCAGTCAACACAAAGTCGTAACTTTATATATAACATGAAGTTCTTCAATCTAGTTTATCTGATTTTCCGGATTTTTGGAAGTTACTTGGATATTTTTAAATGCCGTCGAATTCCTGGGCCTATTTGGTTTGGATTAATACTTTGGTCTCACTACATATTTAATCCGTTTGGTGTAACTGGATTATTTGTTTCGGATTAATTTAAACATACTAAAGCAACAAGACGTGGAATGAAGCAAGGATATACCATTGAAACTAGAAGTGTGGTGTATAAGGGGAATCCGAACATGAAGTTTATGTTCCCACGGTTCTTTGCGTTATGTTTGATATCATTGTTGAGAAATGTGATGACATGTGTTCATATTGCAAATTCTAGTCGACTTGATTCCATTAGGTCTAAATTAGATCAGTCAGGCAACATGTAACGGTAAAATTAAGTAATAAGGTGAGTCTTTAACCAAGGCCAAATAATATGTACCCGGACAAGGAAGACCGGAGGACATAAAGTGTGATTAAATGACAATTGGGCAAAGGCTAGAAAACTTTAAAGGGGAACAAAACAAATAAATAAAAATATTGTCCGACAAAATGCTTCCGAAACATTTCAGAGTGTTCTCTCCGTTACAGACTTTGGTGGAACTAATATCTCCAAAAGTATAGAGCATTCTGTTGCTGTCCAAATGAATATATTGCTTGTCGAACAGAAACTTCTCCAATCATCTCGATGACAGTTGCGTATGATTGTTATTACTCTCTTCTAAAACGCCTAAGGAACTGACTGCTTAACAACGTGATGATTTTTAATAACTTCGAAATTCACCTGTATAAATGGAAGGCGTCCATTTAAAATCAATATACCCATTCTCCTAAAATTCACTACATCTTCGTTTACTTAGCTAATGAATGTATGAGTGTCACCTGAACTCGTGAGATCTCCACTTGGTTTGTTCGTTGAAAATTTTTGGAGCCACGTTTAAACTCTGTTTAACTAAAAAAAATTGGCTCAGTAATCGCTGTAAAAAAAGTACATGCCTACAAAAGCCGCATTGGAACTGGTTGGCTTAATATTACTACTATTAGCCTTAGGTAGGAGCACAGAAACAACTCAGAAGTTCTATTTTGCTACAGAACACATAGTAACAAAACAATAACTGAAGCGAGCCATCAATAAGAATACTTTAAAAACTATCCAGCGGCTAAAAATACATGTATACTGAGGCGCAAAGGCAACATACAACCTAGTAGGCGGAATACAGAATGCTTATCGTCACTTCAGCATCCCTTCGTCGGGTAAACTAAAGTGAGGTAGTTTTAGACAAATAGTGACTTTTAAATCAATCCAAAACATGAAGGCATGGAACCGAAAATACTCACGGTTGAAGGTATGGACAAACAAGTTCAAAGTTCGGCAAAAAATCGAGGTTAATGAGGTTCAAAATAATAATTGATCGTTATCACCAGGGGGTTTTGTGAAGATTTTAGTAATTTTATGTAGTTCAGATCATGAGTCAATCGAAGCTAGACCACCGTGGATGGCCGTTTCGTCCTTTTGTGGAACTCCTCAGCAGTGCACATCCACGATCCCGCCTCGCGGGATTCGAACCCAGGACCTACCAGTCTCGCACCAGAGCACTTAACCGATAGAACACTGAGCCAGCATCCAGTGGTGTTAATGTCTAACCTCAACCACTGTTGACTGGCTCCATTAGGTAATTCCTGGAGTTCTAGTGAGAAGTCGTGGCCAGTGGAGATACTCCATGTCAGGTAGAGACAGGTATCTACCTCAGTACAATTGAAGTTGATCGCGCAATTTCGTGGATTGGTTGAGGTTAGACATTAACACCGCTGGATGCCGGCTCAGTGGCCTATTGGTTAGATGCTCTGGCGTGACTGTTACTCTTGAAATGCTTTCAACTATCCTTGCAACTGAGCTGTGACATATTATTACTTCCATTTAGTGGACAACTTAGATGGCTAATTGTTTTTTGCTTAAGTTTTGGTAGAAACCTTCGGCAGATAACGAATTATACAACCTCCAAACCTAACAACCTGACACCAAATATTCGTGCTACTATCGTCATCGGTCTTACTCTATGCTGATGGTATCAAGATATGGAGAGCGATACAAAGCAAGGGCGATAGCTTAGAACTTCAAAATGACCTGGAGAGATTATCTGAATGGTCCCAAACCTGGCAATTGCCGATAAACACTTCCAAGTGTATTGTGCTGCATATTGTCCACCAGGGTACAGATACATACACGATGAATAACACTGAGTTACCTATTGTTCAGGCACACAACGACTTAGGCGTCATCGTCAGTCAAGACTTAAAGACTACTGCACACTGCCGTGCAATAGCCGCCAAAGGTTTTAGGACTTTATGGTCCATACGCAGGGCTTTTAGGCATCTTGACGCTAAAACGTTTTTGACTTTGTATACAGTGTTCGTACGCCCTAAACTTGAGTACTGTATACAAGCAGCTAACCCCTGCCTAAAAAAGACAGTGAACTCTTGGAAAGGGTTCAGAGAACAGCAACTAGGCTGATTCCCGGAATAGCGAAGCTCCCGTATGGTACTAGACTGACCAAGCTAAACCTATTCCCGCTGTCATATAGAAGAATCAGAGGCGACTTGATTATAGTTTTCAAATTGCTTAATGACAAATTTGCACCTGATATGCCCTCATTTTTCTTGTCTTCCAAAACAGAAAATCTACGAGGACACTCATAAAAAGTTCACAAGCCCAGAACGAATTACTTGTCAGCTGACTACCGACTTTCCCATCGAATAATCAACGAGTGGAATTCATTACCTCAGCACATGGTTGAGGCTCCATCCGTCGACTCTTTCAAAAGAAAGTTGGATCAGCTGAGAGACCATCATTGCCAGGACTAACACAGGCCATCAAGCCTCCTGTCCTTTCCAAACTGAAACTGAAACTGAATTTATCATTCTTTTTTTCTTTGGTTTATCACCACAATCGGCAGATTTAGAAACTACTTTGGAAGCTTATAAATCAAGTAAAAAAAAAAAGTTAGTTTGCTCACTTGGTATTGCATTCGTTCATTAAAACTTGGATTTGACCTAGAAGGCGCGGTTCGTTGGCCTTCAGATTATGATGTTACGAGAGATCCAAGATGCACTGAATAGGAAGTCACCGTATGCATTTGCGTGTTTGTAAAAGATTTATTTTCACAGAACTGTTCATGAAGAAAAAAACAAAAGGTTTTGGAAGTGTCCTCAACCGAACTGTCACGGCTTTGCTTGTCCCACTGACTTCAGGTGTACTATGTGCAGCAAAGTTATTGATTTCTCTGACACCTCTCTGAAATCTTCTACTAAGACAGAACCTGTCATACCATCATCCAATGGCACACCATCCGTGAAAAGATCAAGGATGGCCAACAACACTCACCTTGTTCCTCTTAACATATTCAGTATCGGAAGGTCAGGAATTTTTGATGGTCGTGCTGAAGATTGTTGCATCAGTTCATCTTCCATTTCATGCAAAGTTAAAGTAGAAGGTAAGCCTTTTACGTTTTCTATTTTCCAGGCGTGTGGACTAGTGTCACTATCCAACACAACAATATGGAAATGCTTGTTTTCTGCGAAACCCTTCAAGTGATTTTCGTCAAACCATCTATTTCCTTCAAGTCACAGCTTTCTGAATTGCTCAGAATCAAGGAATTCATTCTGCGTGAGTTTTTTTAATCAGTTACGTCTTACTAGGAAGCATATTGCTTTCTAGTACTATTCATTTTTCGTTGCGTGACCAAACTATAATTTTGGATTGGCTTCATCGCACAGTAAAGTGTGACCATAGGTTCGTAGTGTAGGTAACCAAACAGATACTGATCACCCAGTTATGAGCTAATAGTTCCTATGTAAATATATCTATCTTTCTCACGTTAGATCATAAACTGACCTGATTACCAAATATCAGCTCTGGAAATCAATGGATATCATGAGAACCAGTGAAATCAAGCAGCATAATACTTATAATGGCAATAGATTAAATCACCATGAATATAATCATTCCCTACCCCATTACTGTTTGCCTTGTGTGGCTAATACTGAATGTGATCTGTTCAGGGAAAACCATTGTTCAGTGCAAGCGAAAGCCCTTGTCACTCTTGTAGCTCTTTGCACTTTGACCTTACCCAGTACATATTGTACTTGTGAGCGCTTTTCACTAACCCACAAAGGGCTATCCGGGTAGCACAATAGTATTTTTTTTAGGTAATAACCATATACTTTTCACATACTTCCTTCAAAGTTGCTTACAGGATATCAGTTGTAACACTAAAGATACATGAGATTGTGTTCTTACCAGTTTGTAGAGAAATGTTCTGTGTTCATATTCAGTATTCTCTTAGAGCTTGCTCAACTCTACTAGGAAATAGATTCTGTGTAATATTCTCTTTTAAAACGGGATAGTATATTGATTTGGTCATCGTTACAATTATTCCCTCCAAAAGGATCATCTGTTCGGAACTTTCAATATAGTTCCACAGTCATGATTCTTTGTTCACAACCTACTATATGATCGACCAGTTTACGTACATTCATGAACCATAATCTTTCCTCGTTATTGTCGATATCAGTAATGAACTTGCAGTAGTCAATTCATACAGTTCTGCCTCATTTAATTCCGTTTCGCTGACTGATCATAAACTCAATATCTCAGCTACTCCTAGAACAGATATAAATCATAACAAGAAGGATGACCACTGTTGAATAATTTGATTGTTTTTAAGTAGGTTTGTAATTGATCTTCTACGATGATGGTTACATACCCTAAAAAATTACAAATTCTCATTGTAGATCAGATCAATTATACTGCTATGATAACTTAGCTGCCCCAAATGTCCTGGTATCGACCTAGTGTGGCAGAGTCCATTCTCTCCTGAAATGCTCTCATATAGCCACGCGTATATAGCCACTACCAGAGATGTCCTACTCACTCCCTTCTCGTGGCGGGAGTGTTGTTTACGAAATCGAGAGGACGAAAAGCAAGCGTCGAGCACTCAAACCAGGCTAGTGAGTACGGATGATCTACCTAGAGGAACTAGAAAACCGTAATTCAAAATCATTGGTGCGTATAGGTTTCACGCTACTAAGGGAACAAATGACGTATAAACCTATTCTTGACCACCGGCTACCAGAAGACCTCATCTCCTAACATTGATTCATTGCCTTGTGGATTAGACCTCTGAGAAGTGGCTCCCTAAGAAAATCACCTGCTTTGGTTTAGGGACCTAGACAGTATCCCAGTCCACACAAACTAAATGATAAATACTTTGTGTGGTGCATATATATATTGATGCTTCTTTGTACCAATGCTTTTGTTCAAACGGATAATTAATAAATAAATAAAGTAATTCCTCGGTAAACCCACCTCTGAAACATTCATTTTTAACTTTAGTCATGCTTTTAAGAATCTTCAAACTAACATGCAGCACAACCAAATTATGTCCCTACTACTCTTTAGTACTAATTACTGTTGAAAGAAGTCTGAAAATTTAAAAAAGTTAACTTCATTTTGATCGATAAATAGGGTAGTTTAGCACTGTTTAGTTCATCGAAATTTGTTGTAACGAGCAGTGACTTAACGTCTTTGTTAATAAGACTATAAAGCGTTCGGCTAACAACCGTTTTCCTGTAATCTTAATGGAATCTTTAGTCTTGTAACTACATAGTTTCTACTCATTATTTCGTCCATACAAAACTAAATTTGTTAGGTTCCTTAGTAAACATTTTTATTTAGGGAGTCAATTTATTTGAATATGTTTTGATCATATGGTTTTGCAAACCCTTTCCATTTATTCATTTTAAAGCAAGCATCAAATGGTTAATTTTGGTATTTCGGGAACCATCTGCTAGTGACTTGTTGTATGTAACAGTAGATGATCTTGAAGGTTTAGCTAATCGGGTTCGTGAAAATGGATCTTGTGACATAAATTGTAGTGCAGAAAAAGCTAGGGAAATCCTTTCTAGTTGTGGCCTTCGTCTGCCACGTGCTGAATCTAAAAGAACTAATTCGACTTTTCGTGAGTCTCAGATTTCTAACCAAGTCGATCAAGCTCAAACCAAGTCTGACAAGAATGTTATTTCAAATCTGGAATCTAGTTCATCCCAAGTTGACAAACAAACAAACGAGGGAGGTCTGCTGACTAATGTAATAAATACTCTTACTCACTCCGGCATCCAACTCACAAATAACTCAAGTTCACTTCCTCAGGAAAGCGAAAGTACTGTCCAAGGAAAACTGACAATAAGTGAAGTAAGTTAAAGAATTGTTTTACGTGTCTTAATTCCAATAGTAGTATAAAGATGTCCTAATTGAGGTATGGTGTAAATATTATTCATCATCTTTTTTAGGCATCTGTTCTCACTCCTTATTTCATTGATCACAAAGTTTAGGTTATTCACTCAGATTTTTGTTACATTTATCTTGCATTATGTTGCTTATAACGGTGGATAAGTATCTAGTTGAGTAGTTTATGCAAGATTGGTGTTCCAACTGTATTTTAATTATTGGCGTATGGGTTATGTTCTAGATTATGAAAATACTTACGACTCTGAGATGGTGATTTGTAGCTCAGGTGGGTGACTTTGATGGAGTTTTGTTCTCTGAGCTGGATGGTTTGGTCGGCACAAACTTCAGGTAGACTTCTACCTGAAGTTTGTGCTGATGATATCTTTCAGAGGAACCATGAAAGCTCGACGACCAAACCACCCAGCTCAGAAACACAAACTCCATTAAAAACTCATGAATCTTTAATAGAAGTGAAACAGCTGCACGTTGCTTGCTGACTATCAGTGGTAACTACCGGTCTGCATTTAAAACTATCTGCAATTAAGTGTTCTGTCCTCCTATTCATGGAATTTCTCAGGATTGTGGTTGTGCATAGTCGTTGCTACCACTTTCAGAAAACACTAAGCATTAAAATTTTTGGTTAGTCTGTTGTACATCAAATTTCTAAGTCTGGGATTCTACTAAGGAATTAGTTAATGCTGTTTCCGAATGACATGTTAGACTTCCGTTTTCTTGGTGTTTTTCATTGTTCTTAAAACTGTCAGTATTGTAAACCAGTTTCTTCTACAAAAACGTCTGCAACTCGTTTTAATCATAATCAAGTACTTTTTCAATAACGATTCCTGCGATATAAAAATACTCGGTATGGCGTGTTTTCCAGCGAGATTGGATTGCCAATAATCCAGTTTATTAACCAAATTTAAACATTTTAGTGGCTCCAATCAACCTTCTGTATAAAGTCTAGAAATCATTCTCAGCTTCCCATGTTGAAAATAAAGTGGATTTTTAGCTTAATGGTCCTATCTTAATAAATCTGGACCTCTGTTTCATTGATTGGATTTATACAAGATGGTAGGTTGATTCAAGATACTGGAATACCAAACGAACCGAAACAATTTTGGTATGTTTGATATTAGTCAGTTTTTTATCACCTAATAAACTGATCCTATTGATATCATGCTCTTTCCCCTTGGTAACTCAGGTAAATCAATTGAAAGGGTAGAATTCACATTAAAAGTATTTAAGTATACTTTCTGTAAGCAAAAACAACTAATGGTGGTTTGGACTTGATTTTGTATGCTGACCTAATACTTTTAAAGTAGGGAAAGTTGCCACATCAAAATAAACAATTTGGTTAATTGACTACTTACTAATTGTAAGTAATAGAATTTTATCGGTGAAATATCTTTCCACTTCTGAACTCATCCTACAGCACAAGAAACGTGTCAACACACTGGAAGTCCGTACTGATGTATCTATTGATTGTAAAATGTCAATTCACTTTTTACGTCCTTAAATTTGAAAAAAAACAACGCCATGTCAGTGAAGCTATCTCAGAAAAAGATGGACATATTTTCCATTCTCATTCCAGGAGATTGGATCGATGGGCAGAACACTAGGGATCAGTTCAACTGGCCTTCAGCTACACCTCAGTTTCCCACAATCCCCAGTCAGCCTGAATGGCAAGTTAATGTAAATCCTCCAACTCTCTACGAGGTTGAAGAAGCTATAGGAAATCTGAAGCGTGGGAGAGCAGCAGGCCCTGACAGGTTTACCCCTGAGATTTTTAAGTATGGTGGTCCTGTACTAGCAGCGAGATTGACTGAGGTCTTAGGTAGAATCTGAGAACTGTACGTAATTCCATCTGACTGGTTCCAATCACTGATTGGGCAAGTCTATAGGAAAAAGCAAAAGTTGTCTTGTGACAATCACAGAGGGATCGGTTTGACTAATATAGTGTCTATAATATAAAAATGATAGAGCCCCCAAATGCCCTGGTACGGCCGAGAGTGGGGAGAGTCTGCTCTCCCTCATGAAATGCTCTCACATGGCCACGCGAATATATAGCCTCTGACAGGGAAGTCCTACTCACTGCCTTCTCGTGGCGGGGGTGTGGTTTACGAAATTGAGAGAACGAAAAGCGAATGTCCGGCGCTTTAACCGGGTTGGTGGACACGGAAAGTCCACCTAGGGGAGTTGGAAAACCCTGATTCCAAACCAATGGTGCACATGGGCCCCAGTATCTTGATGGAACAAATGGCGTATGAACCAATTGTTGGTCACCGGCTACCATGGGACTGTATCTCCTCACGATGCTCCACTGCCTTATGGGTTAGACCTTTAGGTCAAAGGCTCGGGGTATGGTCCCCTAAGAAAACCACCTGCTTCGGTTTGGACACCCGGGCAGTATCACAGCCCACACACACTCACAACCACATTTGGCTAAATCTTGTACAAATGTTATTTTCTATTTTATTGTGACGATGTGGTCAGTCGGTTTGGTATCTAAACTCAGTATGTTTGAAATACAAGGATTCATACTGCAGAGGCTGTTATTGGTGTTTCTGGACTGAACTGGCTTGGCTAGGCAGAAGCAGGACCGATAAGCACTCTAGACTGCTCGTACGGTTTTCGTGTGTCACTGTTCCAATCGATAATTCGCTGCTCTCTGATTGGCGGTCTTATCACGTCATACATTAACAAGGCATCCACTCGGGCACAAGTTATAACATAGTTGTAGTAGTTCTCCAAGTTTCAGACCAGTGCAATAGAGCTGTCTTGACGTTCGTATTGAAGATTATGACTTTGGTCTCGAGTGATGGTTGTTTTGAGTTCCAGGTGCTCTTCAGTTGTAAGGATGTTGATCCTTGTTCTGCCAATACGTGTCCTCACAAATTCATTAGATCCCTCTTTTTTCTCAATGATACTCCCCAGGTACGTGAAGGCCCCTACCTCTTCCTCAGCTTCTCCATCAAGTGTTATTCGGTTGTTGCTCGCTGTGCTATATTTTCGGATCTTACTTTTTCCGTCGTAAATGTTTAGACATACTACTGAAGAGACGGCTGCTGCTACACCGGCTATCTTAGTCTTCATTTTTTGCTGTGTAAGAGATAGGAGAGCTAGGTCATCTTCGAAGTCCAAATCGTCTACCGACATCCAAGCTAATCATCTTAACACTGAAAGACATTCACTGTGTTCCCTTTTTTTGTTTTGGAGAGTGCTTTGATGATCCTATATTCTTGAGTTTCTCATCCTATAAGCGCTTTCCGCCTTTATTTGGAGAGCATCAGTGTAATATCTAGTCCAAACCAATCATCTGTGTCCAACATGTGCACTAAATTCAATGCTTTTCGTGAAATGTGGAGTTGTTCATGATCTAGTCTACGGCTAGTAGAAAGGGAAACTGCGGGAGTAAACCGCCTTGTCTTGACACAAGTTTCCACTTGAAGTGTATCCATAAGATGGGCTTCAACCACTAATTTGCAATTCAATCAGTTGTAGGAGTTCCGTGTGATGGTGAAAATTTCACATAATTTATAGTGTCACTTAAATTCCACGAGGTTATTCTATCCTCGCTATCGAGTGCTGTCGTATCTTATCACCTCTGTGACTATTGGAATGGTTCTCTCGGTCTCTCACACTGCCTGGAGATTTCATCTATCTGGATAAATTATTGCTCTATATGTCTTAAGGAGCTTCAGTTTCTTGTATTCCTGAGATTTAGCTTTCATTACCAGACATAATTTTTCCACATGAAGATATTTCAACTCTCGGGAAGAAGCTCGATTAAATTAATTGGGTCTCTCTGATCGTCATTGTATCTCGTATTGTTCAACTCTAATGCTTCACAACCTAAACTTAATTTATTTAACACTTGACAGCGACCCTATATTCTTACAATGCTTTGTTTTCCTAATTTTTTATGAAGTGTAATAAAGAGTGTGACGATTTAATCATTCTCTCTGAAGAAAATACTGGCGAATGGATTCAGAATGCGAGGTCATCTTCTCTGACTAACAGTGGTAATCCCCAAACTGAATCATCTACAAATCCTGATGAAGATTCCATGTAAGTCTTAAAGTATGTGGTTTTAATAAAATTTTACTTTTTTTTGTCACTTGCTAAGCCACTTAACGTTGTACGTTATCATCATGTAACATCAAGTAAACTGACAGAATGATAAATATTATAAGTCACTAGAAATCTACATAGAGGGGCATTGCTGTAAATTTTCTAACACTGAGTTCACTGACACAGATATTAATGCTTCCATATCTCCACGTCTATACAAGCCTCCATTTGCTTCTTGATTATTACACAAACATTGGTAAACTCGGGTTTCTTTCCTCTCTCTAGGTTTTAATATGCCGAAAATTGTGGACGTCAACTACCTTACTGTGTGCATTTCTTTTGACTTGTGTAATTTTCTATATCAATAAAGCCAGCTACCACTACTCTATCTTTTTTGGAATTTAAGTTTCCTTATGTATCCGGTGAAATTAACACTCATAGTTGCATTGGCTGTTTTGTCAACACTAACTATAATAACAAACTTTTTTTTACAGCTGAATAAAAATGATTTCTGTTAATCAGTAATTATCGTTCATTAAGTAGTGTTTATTTAAATGATATGCTTGCATTTATTCTCTATTCGAAATGATTATAGTCAAGGGAGTTAGTGTAATTTAACTGTTTTCTTATTTTTGTTATTATCATCTTCGAATGATTGGTATTTAAATTTTACTGATATTAAATGATTTAGTTTTCGAACCAACTTTTGTCGTCTACACATACAAATTGTATGCACAGAACACTATTGCATTTTAATGTTGAACTTTTTACTTATCTTAGTGTCAAATGAACAGTGTGTATATTTTAATCGTGTTCTATTGATTATAGGAAGTTCGATTACAAACCTCCTGGGTCTACCGACAGTATAACAATAACCAATAATGATATTGAATGTCTTGCACCTGGAGCTCTTTTAAATGATGCTATAATTAACTTCTATCTCAAATATTTATATTTCGAAAAGCTTACAAGTTTCCAAAAACAAGCCACTTATTTGTTCAATGTATTTTTCTACAGTCGGTTGGCGAGTGGTGGTTATATATCGAGTGATGTACGTGGTTCTACAATTTCAACTAATTTACCAAAGAGTTCAGAAATCACGGATGAGTATGTACAAATCTTACAAAGTTTGGTGTTTTTATTGTTATTTTTTTGTATTATATTTACGTTCCTTTCCTCGTAAATTATACATGTCCGTCAAAGTTTTTAATGTTATGTGTATTTGTGTTTTACTTTCACTTTAAAATGAAATCTCACTTGAAACTTACTGGTATTTATTACACTGTTTATCGTTAAAAATTATACTGGATACCATACAACAACTAATCTTACCCTCTCTTCCATATCTCATCATCTGCCCATATCATCATTAAAAAATATAACTAGTCAAGTAGCAGACACATCAAATAAGCTAATATTGTTTTTACGACTTCGAAAATACGTATAACACTCACTCTTTTCATGTTGCATATATTTAGGCCTTGATTTTCAATGTATACCAATTTTTAGCGCAACCCCAACACACCTCTATAAAGTCATACCATACTTCGTTCAAAACCCCGTAAATATTGACTCTCCAGAAACAGACTGGTTTTCGTTCTGGTCGAGGATGCATTGATCAGATATTCATCCCGTTCCAAAGTTTAGAACACCATAATATTTATTACTAGCTCACAATCGTAGTGTTTGTTGACATTAAGACATCCTTCAATACGTTGGACAGGACTGTTCTCTGAGATTGTCTACTGAAGAAGAGTGTGTTTGAAAAGTTTACTCACACCTTAAGAGCCCTATATACAAACACCCCAGGTAGAGTGAGAGCATACAACCACCTCCCTCGATTGTTCCACTCAAGCAGAGAAGTTAGAGAGGCTCACACAATCTCACTATTCCTCTTCAACGTTGCCATCAATGGGATTCTGAAAACAGCTCTGATGGATGTGGGTAATGGTGGTGTGGATCTATCATCTTGAGAACAACTGTTTGACCTTGAGTGTGTGGATGATATTGTCTTACTGTGCGATGATATCCAAACCATCCAGTCCGCATTTAATCAGTTGGCAATTAATATCCGTAGGTATGGCATGTGGTTTACACCTTCTAAGTGCAAGGTACTTTTACAAGACTGGCAGCACCCTCTGTGTTTGATCATCGTTGTCTCCAAGGAATTGATGACATCCAGTGGCAACGTCATGTTGATGATGCAGAGGTTCGCCATCGTGTGTTGAGGCACAGAGACGATACTTCGATTGGTGTCACCATCTTGAGACATCGACTTCGATGGCTTGGACATGTCTTAAGAATGTCATTACAGCGAGTTCCATATTGTTCATTATTTGCCGATTCAATGACCAGTTGGAAAAAGAGAAAAGATGGTCGGTACACTACATGGTGTCGTGGTATAAAAGAAAGCTGCACAAGGCTGGCTTCTGTTGATGGTTCAAGACTTTCTGGTTGGGGTTTTAGATATGGTGCACACAGTGGCTAGAGACGTTGTCGCACATGGCTCAGAATAGAAGCTAGTGGCGATCTTGCTGTAACTTTCTTTTACCTTCTTCATGAAAGTGAATGTAACTTCTTTAACTGAAAGAATTCTTTCTGGTTGTATTTTTATTGACTGGACTGTTTCCCCCATTATTATTTCACTCTCATACACTAATTTCAGTCCATTGTTGCTCTTCTTTTATTATACTCACTCTCCATTTCCTACCTCTTCATAATCTCATTTTTATTGTGTGGCACATATATATTTGGTTCCTTCTTGTACTAATTTATGTTCAAATAAATAAATACTTTTCATTTAATCACTATTATTTTAAATAAAAAGACCTTAGTTTTAAAACGTATATATCAGACTGTATCTGGCTAATTAAGTCACTCTAAACATACTTGAAGTCATTTATTTATATCAATATAGAAAGTTATTGTATCTATAATAAAATTGAAGTCGTTTATTGCTAATCAGGATCTTAACAGAATAACGATCTTGTATGGAGCAATGAAGATATTTACAAGATTATGCACAAAATATAAGCAGACGCAATACTCATTAAAAATACTGCGTATGAACAAAATGAGGTCTAAATCAGCATTTCTAGCTGACTACTGACGACAGAGATGAAGTGGTATATTGATTTTGGGATCTAATGAATTGTGAGTATGGAAGTACTCTAATCAATAGTTTGACAAGCCGTTTCAGCAGAAAAACTACTATTCCTCCTAAGGAGCCCTCCGGGTTAAACAGGAGTAAATTGTGAGTGCCTTAAGATCTGTATCTCTATACAAATAATATTCGTTTTCTAATAAAATTTCCTCTTCGGTTTTCTGCTGGCAAAACCTGTAGTCACTTTTTATTGGGGTTAACACCTCATTAAAGCCATCATACTTTGTTGTTCTTAGTCGGTCTTTGGTAACTTCTAGATCTATAACAAATATGTATAGAATCGAGTCGTTATGTCTTACATTATCATAGTGAGAGAACAAGTTAGAATACGGGATGCGGGGAAACTGGTGAAAATCTAAACAAGAGTTAAAGATTAAAAAGAACAGGTGAAACCGAAGAGTGAACCGTGTGGAATGACAATGAGCTCAACATTTACAGAAACACAAACAATCAGTCTGACTGCTTCACTGGGATTGATTTTAACTTGTCACCAATCCACGGTTTACGACTATTGTGGTTGGAAACAGTGGTGAACCTTGCCTTAACTCATTTAGATCAGACTGGTTGTCAGTGACTTCATGAACTCATACCATGTCTTCACTTGGCTGCCTTTAGGCTTCTAACCTTATTCTTTGTTAACCAGCATATAACTCTTATGAGCAGTCAGTGGTAGGATTCGCATAATATGGCCCAACCTCATCAATTGATACACGTTCCATCTATCGCATTTTTATTTGTTACTGCCTCACTAGTTCCAGGTTAACTGTTTTATGTTTATTAATTCCAGTTCACCGAATTCTAACTACCCAGTGAATACAGCTGCCAGCCGTCACATTTAAAAACATGTTGATTATGTATTTTTTCAACTACTGAATATTTATCCTCTTTATCCCTGATTTTATCTCTTGACATTTTACAACTGTCAGCATTAACTATAACAGTAAGAAATGTCGTTGATGTTTAACATATCTGAGAAACTCATAACGCATTAAACCAGTATGCATGATGTAGACATATCTCCATACTGTTATAAACGAATTGTAAGCTGTATGACAAAAGAATTTTCCATATATCAATGACATTCCCCTGTTGTTTCTTATCAGACTATACGAAAAACAAGATGGACTTGTTCAATCACTAATACACACTAAAAATAAGCTGATGAATTCAATATCTCTCAAACTTACGAATAACAACAGCTATGAATTTCACGGTTTCGAAAAATACCGAACATGTCACAAAAGTGATTAGTATACAACTCATTAACTAATCTAAATTGACATCTTTATATGCAATTTAAGCGTGTAAGTTTCTTAAAAATTCTCATAGGAATACCAGGGTACAAAAAGATAAAGACTAAAATACCAATCGTTAATAACAACAAAGTTGAGTAGAATAATTGATCGACTTATTTCTGGTAAGGATAAACTGTGCAGCTTTATCTCCGCTATTTCGCTGTACTCACTGAATCAGTAATTTATTCACCCGCACCGAAAGTTCTTAGTGATAATTCCGAAATTATTTCAACTGTAATATCATTGCATCAAAATACGTTTATTTCTGTGTTAACGTCATGACACAAGTAAACATTAGTTGGGAAGATTTTCTCTATATGATTGACGAATCCTCAACGAAATTTGAACATAATCCGACAAGTATTCAAAAACACTCTCAAGATACTACCACCCTCTTCAGAAAATATTCAATTCCTCCATTTCCAATTCATGTTGTTTTCATAGAACAATTTTTGCTCAGCATGCCAATGTCGCGAAATGGACACGTCGAGTCGATCTTTTCAGTAAAGATTATATTATTATTCCAATTAATGAATGGTAGGTCTCCGAAAAATTGATTTTTTTAAACATAGATTGAATTATGTTAAGCTAGTTGAATTTTTAGGATTATTTGTTTTAACATTGAATATTCATCGAACTTGTTAATTTAGTGTTGTCAAACTTTTCTAGTTTCACAATCCTCAGTAGTGTACACTTACAATCGTACTCAGACTCCATTTCAGAATATCTAAATCTCAAAGAGTACTGCAGTTCGCGGTACTGATCACGCAAAAACCGGACCACTTCATAAAAACTTCGGCATGACCACTCATGAACTTCGTTTCTCAGTGTTAATTTTAACTAATGTATTGACACGGTCATTTACCTACTCTACTTCTATTTTGCAAAACGTTACTGAGCAGTCACTCAACTTCCATTAACTTGGTAGGATATCTGCGATAAACAATCAGACAAACTTGTATTTGGGTTAGTCAGAATTATTATGTTATTGGATGCATCACATGGTTCGTTCAGTTTGACGGAAAACCCCCCCAATGAACACCTTTTTCGTAGAAAATATTTGAGACTAATAATAAAAGTTTATTCAGTACGACAATTACATTCTGTGGAATTATCAACATATAATATTGTAAAAACTTACAGAATAATAATTCCGTAAAACAACATGCTGCCTTTAAAGAGACTAAAATATGTCATAGTCTAGAATAATATAACTAATTCATCGAGTACAGGTTTATGTACTTGGATTTTGCTTTCACTTTATTTGGTATGAGAGTTGATGATACCATGTAGTTGCGCGAATCAAAGTTGACGAAACAGATAACAAAACTATAGCGTGATTTTAAAAAGTATTCCTTAACCATTGAGTGCTTGCCCTACGATATAACACAATTCGTCTGACGAAGTCCCGAGTAATGTGACCACAGTATTTCTTCTGAATGATTAAACTTAAAATAGGTTCGACGCAGTCTTTGTTGAATCTCTAGACTGGATGTTTAATGTTTCTGATAGTCGTTCATGTAAATACTGGTATGTACTACTGTCAGTTTAGTTTTAGATAAATAATCAGTTGATAGCTTATTTATTGATTTAAAACTTTGAATACTGCTTCATCTACGTCGATTTCTTTAGGCGAGTTGTGTCATGAACTCTTACACTAGAAATACTGACGGAAACCAAGTACATTCAATCAAACTTTGTATAAAAGTTATATTAAATAGAGTTCTAGTTACATTTTTTCTCTTAGTCACTACTACATTTGTTTATTGTTCTTTAGTATTTAAATTAACCCACCGTCACTGATTCTGATTGTTTACCTTTTATAAACCGCATGACATTCTGTATATTCAGATTGATTGGTCGTCATTGTTAAAACTCTTTCAGTGCACATTGGTTTCTTGGTCTTGTCTGCTATCCATGGATGGCAGGAATGGTCAGTTACACGGCCCTTTATCGTGAAGAAGTTTATCATCTCTGCCAGTTGACGGAAAAATTTACTGATGTTGATCGCATCCACTTCTCAGGCGACGATTTAAATTCACTAGATATCGGTGAAGAAGTTATTCAAAGGTTGCCTACCGACACACCAGTAAGTAATCGACTAGAAAATTTTAAAATTTACACAATTTCCGGAAAATGTTAAAAATTTGTTTTTAAATTTGAGAGCTAAGCATCTGTTTTGTTAAAACATATTCTTTCCATGTACCTATGAAAATTGTTGCTCTGATTGTTAGAAGAGGTATCGGCCTCGTGACTTCCGAAGGTTCTCGGCTTTCACCATGAGGCGTCATAATTCTTCCTTCAACTCTCTTGGTAGAGTTTAAATGGTTTAATTTGTTTAATCTGGTTGGTGTTTTTTAGCAAGATCTTTTTCTACGGGACGGGGTTACCGACCCTCCTCCTTTATCCGGGCTTGGGACCGGCAGTAACTCTAGAAGAGCTACAGGTTCAGTTATGCACCCACCAATGATAGCAACGACCACAATAAAGATCAGTTCCATAAGAGGCTGCAATCAATCATATCGAAGTGCCTAAGAAAAGGTCTCATGATCCCGATAGGAGACCTAAACGCCAAGATCGGAATGGACAACATTGGATATGAAGATATCATGGGACAACATGGACTGATAGAGAGAAAGGAATGAGAATGGTGAAACATTTGCAAATTCATGTGCATTCAACAATATATTCTCCCAACAAACGCATACACAAAGCTACGTTGAAGAGCTAGCAACGACAGCGGAAGAAGTTTCAAAAGAAGGAAATATGAGACAGCTATATGACACGACTGGCAGAGAAATATGGTAAACCTAAGAGGTCAGTCAAGGACAAAGAAAACAAGACAATCACCGAGATTCAAGAACAGATGAACAGATTGGTGGAATATTTCGAGGAACTCTTGAATAGACCTGTTCCATTAAATCCACCGGACATGGAAGCAGCACACACAGACCTTCCTACAATTGTCACTCCGTCAACGATCGAATAAATCAGGATGGCCATCAGACAAATCAAGAATGGGATAGCATCAGGGCCTGACAATATACCAGCCGAAGCACTGAAATTAGATATAGAGGTAGCCACAAACGTGCTCCACGTTCTAGTCAGGAAGGTTTGGAAGGAAGAACGAGTGCCGACGGACTGGAAAGAAAGATACCAAAGAAGAGAGGTCTGAGCAAGTATGAGAACTACAGAGGAATCACACTACTGTCAGTACCAGGAAAGGCTTTCAACAGATTGTTGTTGAACCGAATTAAAGAATCAGTAGACGCCCAACTTCGAGATCAATAGACCGGATTCCGTGCACAGATCGAATTACGACACTACAGATCACTATTGAACAATAAATTGAATGGAACTCGTCACCATATACCAACTCCATTGACTATGAGGAAGCATTCGACAGTATGGATAGGCGAACTTTGTGTAACCTTCTTTGACATTGTGGTGTACCTGAGAAGATCGTCAACATCGTTCGGAGTTCATGCTATGGACCACTGTGCAAAGTCTTGCATGGAGGACAGCTCACAGATGCATTCCAAATGAGGACCGGTGTCAGATAGGACTGCTTGCTATCTCCTATTCTCTTTATTCTGATGGTTGTCTGGATTATGAAGACCTCGACACCTGACGGGAAGCACGGAATAAAATGGACAGCTTGGATGCATCTAGACGATTTGCACTTCGCAGATCACCTAGCTCTTCTATCCCATAGACACGAACAAATGCAGAGGAAGACAACCATTTTAGAAGAAGTCTCTGGATCAGTGGACGCAGTATTTTACCTCTTGCACAAAGCTGAACACTGAATCGCAGTGGCTTAAGCAGTACATCATGCTTGTTAACCCATTAACAACATAGAGTTGTCTCCATATGTTGACTGAGAAGTGTACAGTGGTCATCTACATTGCAAGTCAAGTTGATTCTTCAAGAACTCATTCTCATACAATGTTCCGCATCTCCAGAAATTGTCGTTTTAAAGACAGCCACCCAATTAAGCTTGAAGTATGTATTCATAATTCATATATCCATATTTGCCAGTGCATCCATGAGTTATTCTTTGTTAGTATAGGTATTAATTGATGACTACTTAATTCTTGTATCTCCCAAATGATTAATTTCCTTTTCTGATAACATTGTCGTTTACCCTGACTGGCGAAAGTATCTTAATAATTCACCATTGTACGGAAGGTATTGCAAGGCCAGTGAAATGTCGCTGAGTCATAGCCAAATCATCCGGCAGTCTGGTCATTGATTATCGAACAGTTCACCAATCTTCGTCAAAATCAACGACAACTAGCGTGCATCAGTTAATTGCACGCCATGGACTGGCCCATGCGGTAGTGGTCGCACTCTTTTTCTTGTACCTACTCTTACTAATACACCTGTAATAAAGTCATTTGTGTTGCATGGCCATTAAAGCAGCCATAGGACCTGGATATGATGAAGGGTAATCCACGTTGGGTACTAACCGTAAGGTATGACTTCAACGTTAGCTGGTTGGTCTAACTCGAGCTGGTCGCCAATCATTCGATATAGATCATCTACGTTAGTGATCTACAATACTTTGCTTTATATACTTTTTAGGCGGTGTTAACATCGTTAGCTGATATCGTATCTGAGTATGTGAGGAAAGATCTGATCTGTCATCAGTGTTGCACCTGAAACAGAATAATAGTATTTTCTTTGCAATTACTAATGGTCCCATAGAGATTAATTCAGTCATGTTTCAATGTAACATCTGGTTATGGGACCACACATTAAAAACAAGACAGTTGAACAGATGATACTTCTGGACACAGTTCATGGTTTTACCACGTGTTAAAAATAGTTACTTCGACATATATATGATTCTGAAAACATTTACAGAAGAATAAACAGATGCAGGGACTACTGTATTGATGTTTTTGCAAAGTATAGACGTGAAGATTAATATGACTGTCCCAATTCACAGAGTCAGAAAATCGAGTGAAACCCGATTCATTATTGAAGCATAACAAACGGCTAGACTACTTTACAGAACTTTATTGTCCAACATCAACAGAAAACTGTCGACAACGAATAATCAATCGGTGCCAGAATAACAAACACTGTTATTAACAGTTTGGTTTGTCACAATATGTGCGACCATACATTGATAATGAGTAATCTTTGTACTTCTGGTTTAAACTACTACGACACTCATTCAATAAAATCAACAAGCTCAGAATGTATGACTACAAGCCATAATCATCGCTACCATAGAATATTAGTTCAATTTTCTGAACAAAATTTCTATTACGATGTAGCTGTTAGGGGTAATTTCTATAAAATGATAACTATTAAGTTATGCGAATTGGTACTAATAAATAAGTGCCGAATGACGAATATTGACAGAAAACTAGTCAGTCGTTCATATGACTAATAAGCAATAAATGGTTGGTGTAGTACTGATAAATGTCCCCCAATGTTCAAATAACTAATTGTACATTCGTTTATCTTTATTTAGTATTTTAAGGTTTCTATAACGACTCAAGCCACTTAGCTATAAACCGATTTAATTAACTATTTAATTCCACTTGTGTATTTATTTCGTTTAGACACGTCCTGAATTCTGGTACTTTGACTGTTTCAAACTTTATTACGTTACGACTTTAACTATTTATTTCCTACGCTTTTAATTCCCATTCATAATTTCTCAGATTTTGTCATCTAGTATTCTGAACCAGAAGCGACTTTTCGGAAGCAAACCTTGAGAAACAGTACGGCATGATTATCCCTACCTAGTATCTAGTAAACTGTCTGATGAATTAGTTATTTGTTGTTTTTATTATTCATGACTAACATTATTCCTTTTTAAGATTGTTGTATGAGGATTTGAGTGTTGAGGAACTGACGTAAGCTAGGGAAAACAAAATGTGACTCCCCACTGAGTGTAGACTGAAAAATACTCAACTTACCATTAAATGTGTGATTTCCCTCCCGTTATCGATTTCTACTCTGGATTCACTGAGTCCAGGCTGACTGTAACTGTCGAACAAAGTATTGTCTAGTCTACACTCTGCTTCTCTATATTTAGTTGTGATTCGTGTATTTAATATCACGTGACCCCAGTTTGTGTATAGCGTATCGATTGAGTATCCAATCTGGTGGTAGTATAGTCTCACTCTCCGATCTTACTATCGTATTATAGTGGTATATCATGAAAATGGAAATATTTTTACTCAGCCATTACATCAGAAACCCAGAAATTTCAATCACAACTGTTACCCACCTACTAAACTCATGTAAACACACACTTTAAACCTAACGGTTTTCCACTTTTTTCTGGAATCGTCTATGCACGGCAAGTTTTCACTACATAAGTAATTTATTATTTCAACTATTGATTGTCAACATGGGACCTATTCTTCCATTCTAGGGTGAAGCATTTGATCGGTGGCGGCGAAGACGTTTAGCCTGGCTTCGTCAACGTGGTGTTAACGCAATGTAAGTTGTTTTTGTTACTCTGTAGGAAAAAATAATGTTCCCGAATCTACCCACTAGAACATAAGTCCGGTTTACATGTGCGGGATTATTACTTAGTCTGTTCAGTTGAACTACTATGTGAAAATTAAGCAACTCATTTTTATATTTAACTTGTATCGTTAGTTACATAGTGTTCATATTCTTGTTTCTGCATCAAGAAATTCCCAGTTCACAGTTGTCCACTGTATTTCAAATGCATACACTTGGCGTTAAATCATACCTCAATATGTTTACCAGCCGGTTCAAAATATGACCCTGTGGCAAGTAAATAACTTGATATTTTATAGACTTTGTAATCACTGTCACATGTATATAATCTATTGTTTGCTTTATTTATTTATTCTTTACAACTGTTACTGAATCCCATTATTTTAAAAACCCTAAATAGGCCATGTGTTTTACTGTTCGATTCGCTTCCTTGTCAAAGCCGAGTTGGCAATTTGCATGTTATTCGAAAGTAAGTTACCTCTAACTTTTTGAGTGTTATTTATTAAACAAGGGCATCAAATCCTATTTTACGGACATTTTTCTCCTTAAGGTCTCACTGCCCCTCCAAACAGACATTTGTATTGAGCTTTCAGATCATTTTCACCGTTCTCAAACCTCTTTGATTAAACTTGACGTCTTATTGTTGTCACAGGTCACTAGTCTGTGACTGTAATTTTTGAGTATTTCAGTAGAAATATAGCTTAACTTTTAAAACATATAGTTTGTGATGTTAGACAGGAAAACTTATTAAGGTCTCATGCATACACATGCAGCGAATTTCTGCAGTGCCCCATTGACCAAACATATTAGCATTCACCAGATTACTCGTAGTGTCATCGTACAGTTTAGTCAGTCCTTACTGAGATCATTTCAAGAAATCACTACCATAAACTCTATGTGCTAGTCGGATGTATGCGAAGTGTTTATCAGATGAAATAAAGCAGAATTCACTAAACACAATCAAATCACCCAAAGAATAGACATTTAGTTTAACCAGAAGTACTTTTTTGAAGAGGAATTGATTCGTGTGTATAAAGCACCTGGTTAAAGAGATTTATACGAGTGTGCCTATGTTAACTTTGAATAGAACGAAGGGGCAAGCACATGATTGTTTACGGAACATGTTCGGAGGCATAAATAAACCCAGGTCTGAGATGCAGGTACATCCAGCTGACGGGTCCCAAATAGGACGAAACGCGCGTCCTGGATTCCACTGCTAGCCACTATCCATCTCTGCTAACCAGGTCATAACAGTTGTGAAAAATGTTTAGAGACAAAAATTATTAAGGAAAGGGTAACTTCTACCAGTAACTGGGTGACTATTGTTTACTGTGAATAAATTAGTCTTGTGCAAGAACAAAAAAGGTTACTTCTCGTATAACTGCCGGGAATAATTACTTTACAACGAGGAGAAATCTGATTTGTTGTCTATTCGAATATCTAAGCGACATTGTCTAACCATAAATGACTTCACGTCACGTGACTTGACAGATCTATAATAAGGTATAATAGTGACTGTTAATTACTCTATCAATTAGGCTAACTAAAAAGCTACTAACAAACACAAATAAATGAAATATTTAACCTTCTGAATTCCATGCTTTGCATTCTGGTTTCGCGACTGCTTCGCAAACACTTGTGTCGATTGGTTTATCATAGCATTGAGGAGCGATTCTATGTAATATATATGAGGTGTGAGAGTACCCAACATCTGCTACAATGACATCTGAAATGTGATCAGATTGTAACTTATTTAAAACATTGTTCTCCAACTGACTTGAGATGAATGGATTATGAGAATAAGTAACATTTGATATGGGTCCATAAGAACTATAATTAGATTTAAACCCATTGAGAATTTGTTTATCATATTGACTAAGACTTTCACTAGAAACAAATGCATTGTGAGAAGAAGCAACATTTGTTATAGTATCGCCAGAATTCGATTCATTTCAAACATTTTTCTCAAACTCATTAAGAACTACATTAGAAACTAATGAATCATCAAGATAGTCAGCATCTGATATGACATCATTAGGAATTTGACCAGAAATTGATTCATTTGAAACATTTGTTTCATTCGACGTGATTAGATGATTGGAATGAGAGGAATGTTGTAAAAGAACCTTGGAACATTGCCCAGAGTCAACATTATTAAAGAATCCATCGACCTCTTCCTCAATCACAAAACTGTTCACTATTATATATAGTTAACTCGTTGAGTGCATCTATAATTTTTGAGTGCGATTCCGAATTCGATTGTTTAAACATATGTACCTTCAATGCACCAATGAACATTAAGTGGGATCTGATGAACAAATAAGTCTTCATTAAACTGAAGCGTCGGTTTTACTTTGCGGCTGAAATTGACATGTTCTTACACTAGTAACCGCCTCGTTTACTGTAACAGCGACTTGATAAATAAGAGCAGAAGTATATTCGTAACTGAGGGAACAGGATTTGGGATAAGTTGAACTGAAAACTGGGTAATAACTGGGAACAGACAGTTATGTTGGAAGCTTAAACTTGTAAATTGACCCAGTCGGTGATTGTTGTCGTTTCCTTTTTTCCAAAATTCCCGTCACTAATTGTTGTGTTGGAATCGCTTATTACTCCGCCTGTAGCTCTTCTAGAGTTACTGCCGGTCCCAAGCCCGGGTAAAGGAGGAGGGTTGGGCATGGGGTTAACGACTCCATCCCGTAGAAAAGCTAACTCGCTAAAAAAACGCTAACCAGAAAAAATAATTCGAACCATTTAAACTCTGCCCTCCAAGTTGAAGGAATAATGACGTCTCATGATGAAAGCCGAAATTCTTCGGAAGTCACGAGACCGATGCACCTTCTAACAACCAGAGCAACACTCTTCATAGGTACATGAAACGTCCGGACGATGTGGGAGACAGGAAAAACCAGCCAAATAGCAATGGAAATGAGGAGATACAACTTGGCAGTACTCGGAATCAGCGAAACCCATTGGACACAAACTGGACAACAAAGACTAGGTACAGGAGAGATGCTGCTGTACTCCGGTCACGAAGGGGAAAATGCTCCGCACACTCAGGGAGTTGCTCTAATGCTGTCCAAAGAAGCACGAAATGCACTTGTGGGATGGGAATCTCATGAACCCAGGATAATCAAAGCATCATTCAGAACAAAGAAGCAAGGGATCACAATGAACGTTATCCAATGTTATGCACCGACCAATGATAGCAACGACGACGATAAAGATCAGTTCTATGAAAGGCTGCAATCAATTATAGAGAAGTGCTCACGAAATGACCTCACCATCCTGATGGGAGATTTAAATGCTAAAGTTGGAGTGGACAACACAGGATATGAAGATGTAATTGGACGACATGGATTAGGAGAGAGAAATGAAAATGGGGAGGGACTTGCAAACCTATATGCATTCAACAAGTTGGTTATAGGTGGCACAATATTCCCACACAAGCGCATACACAAAGCTACATGGATCTCACCGGAACAAACCACAGAGAACCAGATAGATCACATCTGTATCAAAAAAAAATTCCGAAAATCAATGGAAGATGTGAGAACCCGGAGAGGAGCTGACATAGCTTCAGATCACCACCTGGTTGTGGCCAAGATGAGACTGAAGCTAAAGAAACACTGGACAAACAGCACTACAGAGGTTCAATACAGCCTTCCTTCGAGATACCGACAAGCTCCATGAATTCAAGATAACTCTCAACAACAGGTTCCAAGCTCTACAGGATCTACTGAATGAACAAGAAACTACTTTGGATGACAACTGGAAAGGGATAAAAGAAGCACTAACTTCAACGTGTCAGGAGGTTCTTGGTCCTAAGAAGCATCATCACAAGGAATGGATCTCTCTGGGAACCCTGGACAAAATTCAAGAAAGGAAGAACAAGAAACTAGCAATTAACAACAGCCGAACACGAGCAGAGAAAGTCAAAGCACAAGCAGACTACGCAGAAGCAAACAGGGAAGTGAAGAAAAACATTAAAGTCGACAAGCAGAAATACGTGGGAGAACTAGCAACGACGGCGGAAAAAGCTGCAAGAGAAGGGAGTATGAGACAACTATATGATACAACGAAGAAATTGGCAGGAAGATATAGCAAACCAGAGAGACCAGTCAAGGACAAAGAAGGAAAGACAATCACTGAGATTCAAGAACAGAGGAAAAGATGGGCAGAATACTTCGAGGAACTGCTGAATAGACCAGCCCCATTGAACCCACCGAACATCGAAGCAGCACACACTGACCTTCCCATAGATGTCACTCCACCAACGATCGAAGAAATCAAGCAGCAGCCTCCGCATCGATAGGCCTCCACATTCACAAAGGAAAAAGCAAGATTCTCAAATGCAACACGGTGAACACCAACCCAATCACACTTGATGGCGAAACTCTGTAAGAGGTGGAAACATTCAAGTACCTGGGGAGCATCATTGATAAACAAGAAGGATCTGATGCAGATGTAAAGGCGAGGATTGGCAAAGCAAGGGCAACATTTCTGCAATTGAAGAACATATTGAACTCAAAACAACTCTCAACCAATTTCAAGGTCAGGATTTTTAATACGAACGTCAAGACAGTCCTACTGTATGGAGCTGAAACGTGGAGAACTACTACAGCCATCATCAGGAAGGTACAAGTATTTATAAACAGTTGTCTACGCAAAATACTCAACATCCATTGGCCGGATACTATCAGCAACAGCGTTTTATGGGAGAGGACAAACCAGCTTCCAGCTGAAGAGGAAATTAGGAAAAGACGTTGAAAGTGGATCGGACATACATTAAGGAAATCACCAATGTGCATCACGACTCAATCCCTAACTTGGAATCCGGAAGGGAAGCGGAAAAGAGGAAGTCCAAAGAATACACTACGCCGGGAAATAGAAGCAGATATGAAAAGGATGAATAGCGACTGGAAAGGAAGGCTCAGGACAGAGTTGGATGGCGAATGCTGGTGAGCGGCCTATGCTCCTCGACGAGGGGTAACAGGTGTATGTAAGTAAATAAGTAATCGCTTATTACTTCTACATGTAAAACGATGAACCACTGCAATTCCCACGACGCGAAGTAAGAACACCAAGACTGGTACAAGTGAAGATTTATCAACCCCAAAACACGAAGACGACTCTAGTCGAAAAATACATTCATTTATGTATTGACTGTACACTCATTTTTATTATTAATTAGGATGAAATCACATATATAAAAAATGCTTTGAGTTATAACAAATCATATGCTACATGTCATGTTGAGCATAGTCCATGTTAATTTAATAGAAGAATATCGTATCTTGAACATAAATCACAATGAGCAAAGGACTGTAACTTTCATTTTTAATCCCACCATATTGTAAACTACTAATGAACACATAAATGCAGATATTTTACTTGGTATTTATTTCAGTTACTTACAAGCTGAATGGAATACACGCAGATCAGCCCAAGATGGTGTTCTCCGCTTCGATAAGGATACAATTCGAGGTTTTAGTCCTCGAGTGCCTGTTCAGAGTAACCTGGTTGATTGTGGAATCTACCTACTTCATTACGTGGAAATGTTTTTCAAGGTAAATTTAATTGTTTTGACACACCGTAGTTAATCATGGGTTTAGACTTGATTTGTTATTGTTAGCCTGTAACCTATGAATCTAAATATCGGTCATTTATTTCAGGCTATCAAAGTATGGCTCTTCACTTGATGAGCTGGGCCTGGTACAAATGAGTCGTACATATGGTTAGGATTTTATATTTATGTATTAAGTGTGCTAATTCTGATGTAAATCTACCAAAACCGATCTTTGTACTAAAGTTACTGTGCATACTTGGGTGTAAACTCGCACCTTCTGTATAAGATTCGCTTATATAGATCCATATTATTGATCATTTGTCCATTTCTTTGTATGTATTACCTTAGTAACTGATGACTTATAGCCCCTTATATACTTATTCAATGGCACTTAAAGTTGTGTCATACGCGACCCTGCAGTTTACTTCTGTCGACAATGTTTTCGTGGAATCAACTATCGTTAACTCACCGAAAAGTCAACTCTATCACTTATTCAGCTTTTTACCACTGGTTAATATATTTTTAGAAACCTGTTCAAAGTTATACGAAAGATTATTTCCAACACGAAATGGCTGGTTGGTTCCCAGAAGCTACTGTCAGTAAGAAGCGTGCCCAAATTCATGACCTTTTGGTTAACCTACGAGAGCGTAATCTGAGGGAGAAGGCTAAAAACTGATTCCAACACGAATCACTGTAACACTATTCCTGTTTTCATTTACGAAATTCAATTCTTCAAATGAATATAAACACTACATCTTTTTGTATATAAATACACTCCCATCGTTCCTCTTGCATTTCGATTGTATTTTTCGACGGTGTGATTGGTTCGGAAACTAATACTGAACTATTAATGATACACTTTGTATTACAATTCTTCCAGTCGAATATTTCCCTTCTACTTATCTTAAAACAATGGACTATCATCAAATGAATCTTTTAACCAATTTTTTAAAAGTAACTGTGAACGTACTACTGCGTAATTTTCTAGTTTTACTATTTGTAATCCATCAATGACACCAACCATAACGGTATTTGTAAAGCTTTTCTTTCTGCACACTATTGTTATTTTCATAAAAGCAAGAAACTAATAATGAGTATTTGTGCATATTTCTGTATTTTTCAATTTCCCAACTGCATTGCATGTTACACAGGTAAAGTTATTAGCGGATATATCGATTAATCATGTGTAATAGATTGATGCACTACTGACTATATGTAGCCCTTTGAATTCAGTTAGGAATTCAGAAAACACTAAACTACTACAAACTTGATAAGTAACTGATACCGAAAGCGTATAAAGTTCTATGAACATGTGCTATAACACTGAACAACCTACCTGTGTTTCCCACCTCCAGAAAAGTGTTTCACAGCAATAAGCGAAAGCAGAGAGAGGTAATTCAGAGTATCTTTGCTCGTTAATAGATAAACAGGCATTTTTTGATCACCATAAGTGGTGGAAGTTTACAAAATTCGGACGAGGTTTCTATTCGTGTCGAGACTTTGTCGGCTATCACCCAACACTAATAGAACTACCAATATGAGTATCGTCAGTGTGCTGAACTACTTAACTCCATATGTCCAGATTAAAACTGGTCCATCATAGTTCTAAAGCATTTTGAATTGTTGGAGACCCAACTAACACCATTGTAGTCCTCAAGACGTTCAGAAGAGTTCATTTCGCTGACGTCTTACTCAAACAGAAACATGCCACCTGAGTTATCTAAGTTGAATGGTCTCACATTGCTAAATAATTGCCTATCGAAGGTTGTCCTTGGACGAAAGAGTTCACATACCCATCCTACAATAGTATATGTCTATTAAAATTGTTGTCCTCAATGTTCCCACCTTGAAACAGATTGAACAACGGACATTTACGACTATGACTAACGTCTCGCGACGGGTGGGGAGAACAATGTCTACTTGTACCCATCTATACTCTGTTTTTTTTACACCCATCGAAGTAAATGCTTTTGTGAATTCGGTGTGCATCTTGTGCTATTGAGGTATGACAACTTAGACTGATGCATATATGTGCCTGGTCCTGCGTTGTAGTTGACTGAGAGTGATGGCAACTTGCTGATCCCAGGTCGAATAATTGAGACTGTTTTCCACAGGTTTGTACAGATCGCAAGCTTCTTGAACTGTCGTGTCTTCTCTCCTCAAATTAAGCCTGGGCTCATCGTGGCCATATTGCGGCCAGCTACCGATTTCGCGGTGGTTTACAAGATTGTTATTCATTTTAGAGTACCTTCTTGGATTCCAGTCATGCGCTTTGTTGTTCAAAAAACTTATCATTCCAAAAAATTGGTTTCATGTCAGTTGGCTGCACTCAACATTGATGTCAAACTGAGATAGGTTCAATGGTAGTAGGCAGTTCGTTGGAAAGTATACATCAGCATACACGCGCCTACAAAACCCCCATTTAAATAAAAACTAATTCCACTCATGGCTTCGTGAAACGTCCCGTTGGTGAATATTGCGTTTCTGTGAGGTTCTTACAATACGTAACGTTTAGTTCGGCAATGCACGTGAAACTCCAAAACGTTTCCGTAATGATCACAAAACGTGGTGGTGAGAGTGGGGACTATTCTATCACGTTTCTTATCATCCAGGTTCAACTTCCGTTTTTCACATATTCTTCCATTTACATATTTCCTTATTTGTCAGATCCACGGCTAATTTTGTTTATTTACCTAACATGGACTTGCTTCCTGTTTTTGCTCTTACCTATGTCAATTTTAAAGCTTTACTATTACGACTACCAACAGACTCTTCTGTGGACAAGAGCATTATCATGAACGGATATTCACTTAGCTAACGTCACTGCATTCCTGTCCGTCTTTGGGTTAGTGCTGCAACCACGAAAAATAAATATTCCCGAAGTTTCCCCATTTTCACACTTATCCAAGTCTTACGATACCAACCTGGTCTACCTTGAAATGTGCTCATTCGAAATAAACTTTTGTAACATCACTGACCTTTTAGAGTTATTTGATCACACGTGACCAAACTTGGTCTACTCCACTACCGACAAATCACAGGAGGTGCTCGGGATTTTTTTTAGTGATATTCAGTAACTAAGACATAACAAAATGTGGGAAACCAGTGATCCGCTTATTCCCAGTTAGTCAGCAAGTTTTAATTATAACAAGCCCTCAGCTCATTTAGTCATTTCAAAGGCCTACGAAAGCGAAGTCACCTAGCTCAGGAACTAGTTAACATCCATGTTAACTTGAATATCACTACCTAAACTTCATCGTTTAGGAAATACAACGAATACAATCGGTCTATGCCTTTACGGAGGGTTAGGTATTGCTTCACTAGACATTCTCTGCAGATATAAGTGAACCAGATATTCGCTGATGAACGTCTATTACTGAAACTTATCTCCAAATTTAATGCTAGGTTCCCTGCTTTCAAAACTGGAATCTACAATATGAAATACTTGGATTGAAAACATCATCCACAAGCTATTCAAAATTTTGAAAACCAGATATAGAATTAATTCCCACATAACTCACTCCAGAGGCCTTGTGACCTAGAAATGTATCCTTCTAAAGAAGTGTTTGCCTAATAAACATTATTTTGATGCCTTCCATGAATGTTTTCCGTTTGAATGTGTTGTCCATGTACATGGGACAATTGTAAATATCTGGTTTGCTAATTATAAATTCTAATTCCGAAGCTTTCCTGTCCGATTACCAGCCATTTTCCTTACTCTTTATTCCGATAAAAATCAAAATTTGATTAGTATTTTGTGTAAGATGGGATGTCACAATTTTCGGTCCAGATTTTAGAAGGTAATACTGTTAAATTGGTATTTTTCGCGACTGTTTACCTTCAGATAGCATGCCACCCTACTCTTTTTCGAAAATTCATGAACCTTATTTGAATTAATTTGTATTCATCAGCTGATACGAAAGATCTTCAAAAATAAAAGGGATGTACATTGTTTCCTTATTTTAAAAGTTTTAGTGCACTTTTAATGAATACTGAATTATTATGTTAACATAGTTGTTTTATGTATCCATGTACTTGTTATCTGTGCATCAGCACAGATCACGTGGTAGCTACATTTTTGTTTACCTACCTTTCAGCTGAAATTTTTCGAGAATTGTTTTTTAGAATTTCAAGTGGAAATTATAAAACAATATGTAAACATCTACGGTATGAAAATTTAAAGTCATGACTACCATTTTACTAACCCAGCTTTCTTTAGAAGAGGGATAACTTTTATAATTTGGCACTCATTTATGTTGAGATTATTATAATGAAATTGCTAAAAAGTTCATGTCACTATGTAGCTGATACGATAAATATCACACACACCAGTGCTTCGTTTCGACACCTGAGCCCTTAAAACTCAGTTGTGGGAAGAGTCATAGGTAAGTACTACAAATTAGTCTCATAACGAATTGTTCACCTAACGCACATCGAACGAAGCATTATCCTAGAAGCCAGCCGAGGCAGAAGGGGAAAGGCAATAACTTCTTAATTATTTTTACAAATAATCAATATCAGTGACTGGATCCACTTACTACATAATTCGCATATTATATACCTAATTACTATAATGTGGGATGGAACTACACGCTGATAAATACGCATAAGTTTTGAACCTGAAATACTCAAGAACATAGTAAGGAATGAACTTGGTTGAGCACGGTTTTTTTGTTTCAGTAACTTTTCCATGGAATACTGATTGTAGTTTGTCTTTAGATATCAGTTTTTAAGAATTGACTGATTGCCTTGAATGGTGGAAATGACTTGAAATTTGAGAAAATTATTCCACATATACTGATGAGAGGTTGTTTTCGCTAATAGCTTTATTCGATATATAACCGGTAAGAAAACGAGTGCTTTTATTAACAAAATAAATTTAACCTTCGCTCTCTTACTAATGTTCTATACAAATGTTTGCGGAACAGCAGAATGAAGTAGAGAATTTCATAATTTTCCGTCATCGGTCGGTGCAAGAACGAAGACCCACTAGATAGTGTTCACCAAATGAGATAAGAGTATAGTAAATATGCACAAACTCTATCTGGTTTATCGATCGATCAATCAATCTTTTATAGGAAAAATTTTTCACTACTGATATTATTTTCTCGTAGCAGTGTCCATTTTAATCAGAATTTACAATGAAACAACTTTTTCACACCAGATTTCCAAATATCCGGTGCACTAATTATCTTATTTGTAAATAGAAATATATCTCTTACAAAACAAAAAATTTTCACCGTGCTGTATTTCACCTCATAATTTACGTGAGATTAAACATACCTAAAAAATTATTCATAACGTTCAGCAAATGTAGGGAGTTTAAATTCGTGGGATGTTTTTCTTACCAACTTTTTAATCAAATGATAACTTATCTCAAACGTTCAGACACGTTAGAAAATAACGTGATAACTTACATATTATTTAACTTTAAATACGTAACTTTAATGGGAAACTGTGAACTAAATAGAAAGGAATACGAGAAATTACAAGCTGCTTCAAATTGAAAGATAGAGACCCTTAGGTGTTTGTGACTACTAATTTCTGACGTTTTTGAAACTCTAGGAAGAAAAACTATACTTTCCCATAAGATTAAATCAAAGTTAGTGACCTCATAAATTAGTGTTAAGTCCAGGTTTAACTACACTTAGTCTCTTTCAGCCTACCACCCCTCTA